ATCTTTTATTTTAAATAATCGATTATTTTCAATTATTCTATTTTTTTTCCTATGTCTGTTCAAACAGATTATTCGATAATCTTTGAAAAATCGAAAATAATCGATTAAATAAAAAGTCAATTAGCTGATAAATCGAATTATCGATTATTTTAAATAATCGATTATTTTAGATCAATCGATTATTTTCCAATAATTCATTTTTATTGTATTTCCTTTAAAATCGATTATTCGAAAATAATCGCTTAATCGAAAATATTCGATTAATCGAAAATAACCAATTAATAAAGAAGCCGATTTTATGATAAATCAGTTTTCAAAAAAAAAATAACCGAATTATCGATTATTTTCAATTATTCCTTTTTTTCATAGTTTCTTTAAAATTGATTATTCGATTATTATTGAAAAATCGAAAATAATTGACAAATCGAAAATAATCGATTATTATAAAGTCGATTAGCTGATAAATCTAATTAATTATTTTAAATAATCGATTATTTTCGATCAATCGATTATTATCCAATAATCTATTTTTATCGTATTTCCTTAAAAATCGGTTATTCGATTATCTTTGAAATATCGAAAATAATCGATTATTCGAAAATATTTGCTTAATCGAAAATAATCGATTAATCGAAAATAACCAATTAATAAAGAAACCGATTCTACTATAAATCGGTTTTGCAAAAAAAAATAACGAAATAATTGATTAATTTCAATTAATCCTTTTTTTCATAGTTCCTTTAAAATTGATTATTCGATTATCTTTGAAAAATCGAAAATAATCGATTATTAAAAAGCTTATTAACCGATAAATCGATCACTAAAAAAATCACCGAAATATCGATTATATAAAATAACCGATTATATTCGATAAATCGATTATTTTCATATAATCTATTTTTTTCGTATTTTCTTTGAAACAAATTATTCGAATACCGTTGAAAAATCGAAAGTAATCGATTAATCGAAAATAATCGATTAATTAAAAAACCAATTGAACTATAAATCGATTTTTCAAAAAAAAAAAAAATTGATTATTTTGAATAAATCTACTTTGTTTTTGTATTTTCTTTAAAATCGATTGTTACATTATCTTAAAAAACAAAAATAATTTATTGAAAATGGGATAAATCGATTTTCATATAAAAATAACAGAATAATCGTTAAATCGGTTATTTTTGTAACTCCTATCGGTCGCTTTCTCTTATCCTATGATTTAGTTCCAAAATTTAGAGATTCGGTTTTTTTGATCCCGTTATCTTTGAAACCGCATTCGATTGTATAATAAATGTTGCTAGAATTTAGATTTTTTTAGAGTTGTTTAGGGGTTTATAATGGAACATTTTATTAACAATGTAACTAACTCCCGTAACTTTAGTTTTTTTTGCTTATACTAACTAGATCATATTGTGCGTTTTACTTCGTTTTAAGATTTAAATGTCACTTCCGATTTGACCGCAAATAAGATGAACCTTGAAATTTTAAGTAGTTCATCCTGTATTTCATCTAATATTCTTATAAAAATACCTTAAAAAATAAAATTTTGCTAGCAACTATGCTTCTTTACTTCTTATTTTTCTACGAAAAAGGGCTAGAAACCACCTTTAGTAAATATTCTTATAAAACTACTTTTTAAAAACAAAATTTCGTTAGCAAACAATGCCTATTTACTTCTTATTTAAATAAAATGTTCAAAATTTTGCCCTTTTGTAAATTTATGTAAGAATTAAGAAATCTGTTTTCTGAAATATTTATTTGATGTTTAATATTTATTGAAACCCCTTGATGCGGATCTGAAGTATTCAGCACAAAGGATCATGGCGGCTTGATGTCAAAACGTTAATACTGCTGAAAACGTACCTATATATTTATTTTTCATAACATTGGCATTTATATTATTTGTATACACAATTTTTCACGATACATCGTGGCATTTTCAACTTAAAATTAAATAACTAAAACACTTATAAAACACCAAAAAATAAATCAAAAAACGGCGGTCTATGATGATTAATAAAATAATATGTGATATTAAAACTAATGCAACCGGATGTGATGGGTTAAATATAAATTTAATTAAACTATGTTGTCCACATATTGTACCGTATCTTACTCATATAATAAATTTTTGCATAACTGAGGGTGTCGTACCAGTCATGTGGAAGAAGGCAGTTATTAAGGTTTTGCCAAAGAAACAAACTCCTACCGAAAGACTTGCGCCCGATTATTGCCTACATTATCTAAAATTTTAGAAAGAACTCTGGAAATACAAATTAAAGATTACCTGAGCACTCACGCACTACTTCCTGTAGTTCAGTCTGGCTTTCGAAAGGGTTTCAGTTGTACTACTGCTTTGCTCCACATTATTGATGACATCTTCCGAGCCACTGATAGGAGTAAATGCACAGTTTTAGTTATGCTAGATTTCAGTAGAGCTTTTGACACCATTCACTATGATTTGTTGATTTGTATGTTAAAATATTTGGGATTTTCAAACAATGCGTGTTCTCTAATAGAAAATTATCTTAAATGTAGGGAACAACAAGTTCGTATAAATAATATTAATTCAGAATATTTAACATTAAGATCAGGTGTTCCGCAAGGCTCCATACTTGGTCCATTGTTGTTTTCGATATATTCTTCTCACCTCTTAAACAAAATCCAAAATTGCAATGTTCACTTATATGCTGACGATACTCAGTTATACCACAGTTTTGATCCCCATGAGGTGGAGGCTGCTTGTGATGTTATTAATAATAATTTAAAATCATTTATTGATTGTGCAACTGAGCACTGTCTTCTTATTAACCCAGTAAAATCAAAAGTAATGTTATTCGGTAGTAAATATCATAAACAAAATGTAATGAATTCAATAAATATTGAAATCAATAATGAAAAACTAGAACTGGTAAGTGAAGCAAAAAACTTGGGAGTAATAATCGATTCTGATTTAAGGTTTGAGAGACATATAAATAAGTTAATACAACGTGCTTATTGTAATATTAAAATGATTTATGGAAACCGTCATTTGTTTCCTATTTTTGTAAAGAAACAACTCTGTGAAACATTAGTTTTATCTCTATTCAATTATGCGGATGCCGTTTACGGTCCGAACTTAACTGTGAGCTATCAGAATAAAATACAAAAAGTTCAGAATTCTTGTTTACGTATGATTTTTGGCATAAGAAGGCCTTGTAGAATATCTCACAAAATAAGTCAAGCTGGATGGTTGAATATGGAGGACAGGAGAAAACTACATTTTATCTCTTTGTGTCATAAAATAATAGTGAGTAAAAATCCATCCTATCTACATCGTAAAATAACTTATCGTTCTGACGTTCATAACTTAAATATAAGAAACAAAGGATTGTTGACTGTTCCTGCTTTCATCACGGAGTTTTTCAGGCGTTCATATAGTTACCAAATTTGCTATTTATATAACCAAGTCTTACCAGAATTAAAAAATTGTAGTATTTCAAAATTTAAATTAAAAATTAAACAAAATCTCTTAGACGCTCAGTGATAAAGTTAACAATTTTATAATTAGTTTTTTTTGTTTTTATATCAACATATAGCTTGATGCTGCCCATGTTACACTTTGCAGTCCTATCATTTTTTTTTATTGAAAATTTATTGCAAATTATACTTATCTAATTATAAAACAAAACCAATATACCTATTACACATTTTTAGGGTTGAGTGGAAGAATATTTTTGATTGTGTCCAATAACATAATCAAAAATAAACTTCGCCCTTTATTTTCAATCTGCTATATTTTGTCATTAATTATGTTAATTGTATTTATTGGAAATAATAAAGACGTTTTTATTATTATTATTTACTCACGCGGAGATGAGCGTAGAATAGAAATGTCGGAGCAATTCGGGTGGCGTCGTGGACACAATGATTTTTAATTGGTGGGTTACTTAAGATTGGAATAGACAACATGCACTATATGGAATGTTACCTCTCCGGTTTCTTTAATCTAGAGTTCTATCTAGGAGATTGCCCACACATTTTGGGACACCCTGTATATTTTATTTAGATTTTTTTTGTAATTTCATGTCTAACCACTTAATAATATATGGCATGGCATGTAATGCAAAATTTATTAGTGATAACTAGAGTCTGTATAGTTATTGAAATATTTGAAAATATATAAAGTTTTATGCTGCCTAATATTTCTCTTGTAGTTTCAATATTGAACCTTTTTACACTAATGGTGTGTTTGTATTTTTTTGTTTTATTGCTAGGGAGAAAACTTTTATAGCTTTCATCGTACATTTTTTACCTGAATTGGATACAGATACCATTTATTTTCATTTACGTTATTTGAACCAAACAAAAGTATTTTATACGTGATTTATTTGGAAGTCCGGAGAAAATCGTAGCTGTTTGTGCATATGTTCACGTCGTTGAAAACATTCCCATAATAAGAACGTACAGTGTAACGGTGGTTACAATGATATGATTAAATTCAGTACCGGATTAAATTTTTTCTAATGATATTTTAACAATTGTGAGTAAATAAATCGTTTATTTACTCAAAATAACTAATTTACAAAGGCAATTTAAATGACAATACACACTCTTCACATTTATTACATTTAAATGATATAAAAAGTCAACTTACCAATAGTATATTGTGAAAAAAGTGTTGAAAATAGCGCTTTTTACACGCATATGACTATTTGTGGCACAAGCCTGAAAGGTTCTATAAGTTTTGTTCTGCACAGGGCGATTCAACAAAGTTTAACATTAGATGTTTTTCTTTTATATGTTCCTAAGTTTTCATGAAAACTGGAGACCACAAAAAATTACCCTTTGTGGCGCATTTTAGTCAGGTGGCAATATGTCACTATTTGTCAAATTATTTTAAACTTGAATAACTCTTAAACGGCTAAAGATAGTTAAAAGTAGTCAAAAGAATTTAAATCTACATTTTGTTATACTTCTTTTATTTATCCAAATAGAAAAATAATTTAGATTTTCTATTCCAGATCGCCTACTTGATAGCGTTCGCATTCGAACTGCTATGGATCGTAGAATCGTACGTGGCCTTGCCTTCTGCGGCCGTCCTGCTATGCGCGGGATATTTCGCAATGGCGCTGTTCGCAGCATTGCTAATTCACGGTTTAGCGACGGTAAGTACCCGGTACTATTCGATTATTGTATCTACATAAATAATTATCGCAGATATTTGTAAATGGTAGTAGCGGTAAAAAATAAAATATGCAATTCGCGACAATGTTATAAAGTGTTGCCGGATTATCTATTATTCTATCCACAGACTGGTTTTGGAAATGAAAGTGTAGGAATAAGTACTCGATTTTATTGGGAAACGACGATAATTTATGCGTTTTATGCTAATGAAGTGACGTTTTTAACATATCTGTTTTGTTTACCGAGTGACCGAGTAAAATTCAATAAAACTTAAGAGTTGTCACCTTTTTGAAAAGTGTATAAAGGACTACGATACTGACAGGGACTCTGGTATACAAAAAGTTCATAAAAAAGGTCCTCAGCTTATATATTTTTGTATAAACCATGTCCCTTCCAAAGATATGTGCTGTATAAAGGACATTTTGCTTTTAAAAAGGATAGGAGGCAACCCTAATAAGCAGGGCCGCCGAGAGCCAGGCCGGGCCCCAGGACAATTCTCTAGATCGGGCCCCGTGACAAAAAACAGCTCTTGAAACAAAAACTTTTCCTCTTCTAGTTGAATTGAGTTTCTAAAAAATCCTCAATTCTTCCTCTGCTTCAATTGCTTTTTCTAAAAAAAAAAGAGAGGTCCTCAAGCAAAAACTTTTCCTCCTTTCCTCCCCTACTTCATTCCCCCTCTCGTCTTGTGTCGAATTTCTCATACAAAACAAAAAAAATTCAGTTATCGGGCCCCCTTTATACCGCTGCCGGACCCCCATTTGAGTCCGGGTCCCGGGAATTAGTCCCGGCTACCGCCCCTCTAGTCGGCCCTGCTAATAAGACTATTTAAATAGCTGAGAAAGCATTGAATAACTTTCCTAAAAATCAAAAATACACAGGGTGCTAGGAAAATAAAAAAAAATATGTTGCACCTTCTGGATGACAGCGATGCCCAGTTTGAATTTCGGTGGGTGACAAACGCCTTGAACACCTTTTGTTACACCACTGATGCATTTAAGTAGGTATTATTTGTTTGAATATTCTGTCATCAGACGCCATTGTCTTCTGTATTCGGTTAAATATTATTTGCGTAATGTAATTGTTGTAGAAGGTATGTCAATAATTAAAATAAACAATTTGTTCATCAAGAACCCACGAGCGCTTTAACATTTGCGTCAAGATGAGTAGATAAATCGTTACAGAAACAAGTTGTAAAAGTAACACAGGTTCACAAAAAAAAAGTTGTCTGTGCTGGGTGTTCGACAAAGATTTTCCGACGTATTTTTTACCGCTGAACACGAATCTGAAGTCGAAATTGGGGGTCAAACTGCAAAAACGGAGAAAAATTAAAATAACCGATAAAATCAAATGGATCTTATCGGTTTTTTTAATTTTTCTCCGTTTTTTGCAGTTTGACCCCCCAATTTTGACTTCAGATTCGTGTTCAGCGGTAAAAAATACGTCGGAAAATCTTTGTCGAACACCCAGCACAGACCACTTTTTTTTTGTGGACCTGTGTAATTTAAAAGAAGTGACTACTAAAATGAAGAGAATGATTTTTTCATGGATTTTATAATCAGATCTTGAGGTAGTTTCTTTTCCTTTCTACCAAATAATAATAAGAATTATAGAAATCGGATAATATGGTAAAGAATTATCGTTGATAAAAAAATATTTCAACGAATTGAGAATCTCCTGCTTTTCTTGAAATCTGTTAAAAATGACTATCAAAACATTTGGTTGGGAAATATAAACATTTAAATAAAAACTTGTGTGTCTTTAATATAAGTGTAATAAAATAAATAAGTACCTATACATAATAAAATAATTTTAATTATACATTCATTTTCATTGTATAAATGTCAACATTGGCCTCGAGATTAGCCTCAAAGTCAATTCGAATTCGTCTTAAAACCAAACTGGCTTTTCTCAGTGTCGTTATAGTTATTTAAATGTCTATTAGCATAAAATGTGCTGCAGGCAAGCATATATTTCATAAATTAAATATCGAAAGTAATAACTACGTACCTACCTACCTAGGGAACAAAAAAATGTTTTTCATATTCATTAATTTATTTACAATGAATCATCTTTTATTGTTATTAGTATTAACTGATTGCTTGTGGGAACAGTTTCTGTATAAGATTGAGGGTATTAGAGAACCTGGCGGTAGAAGATGAATGTAAAAGGGGCACTACCAAACGAAGGAATTACTAAACTAATTTAAAATGGTTTTAAGGAAGGATTTACTAAAGGAAACAGGAGTTATGTTACTAAAAGAAGAGGATTTGGTCCTTGAAAAAGCATAAGACATAGTTTCACTATAGGAAACAACAATGTTACTAGTAACAGGAAAAAACATTCATAAAGTAGCGTCTATGAAAGGTTACAAGGAATGTCATTATTGCAGAAAACAAGGATAAACAAAACCAGAATGTAGAAGTAAAATCGGAAGAAAAAATGGACATTTGGTCAGAGATTGCAGAGGCAAGGCTGCGGCAGGAAATAGGAACAAAGGATAGGAAAAACAAAAGTTGCAACTGATGAAATGGAACAACGAACAAGGAGGATCCCACAGGAGACACAATACTGAATACAGAAAAGAATCACATAGGAATGACGCATGTCAGACGGGAACGAACTGTACACAGATGGACTTTCCGAAAGCGGCAAAAAGAAGAAATCCAGGATACGATATGGATGAATACAGAAGAAACAGAAGCAAAGAGGTTCTAGAGATTCCAAAGATGTCAAAATCTCGAAACATTTTATGATGGGAAGAAAAGAGCTATACAAAGAGAAAATCACGGAAGAAAACAAGCGGAGAGCCAACAAGAGAAACACATCATAGGACAACACAAGAAAAACCTGGGAACCTGGTTGGGAAAAGTTGAAGAAATCATGAGAAAACAACAAAAAAACCTATAAAACAAATCACAAAAGAGCCAGAGGAAGAAAAAGCAGAAATAAACGACCAACAGAAGAAACTAGAAAAACAAGCAGGACAAAGATAGAACGAGAGATAAAATACATTTTAATGGAAAAATAAATAATTATACCAGGACGAACAGAAGTACCTGCTAGTGGAAAATTAAAAAATAAGCTAATCAGAAGAACAATAGTATGCGAAACACAGGAACAAAGACAAATGAAGACGAGATTAGCAAATAACGTGACGATTAATATAGGGAAAATTCCAATAAGAATAATAAACGCATCATTCAAAGAAGTTACATTGAGAAAATGAGAAAAAAATTGGAATATCGTATTAATGCGAGGAAGAAGAGAAACCAATCACAAAACAACAAGGAACTATCGCACGTTTCGACAATTCCAACGACAAATGGATCCAGGAAGGGTTTGAGATGGAACACATAAAGGAACCAGAAATAAACTAGCCTAAAGACAACTGTTGTCACTAAATATAAAGACCCATTTGTAACAACTGAGAAGTCTTCAACTACTGTTGTCGATATACTATTAAGGGATGTAGGCAGCACTGTCACCAACCAAAGGAACCTGGAATCTCGAACGAACGAACATATTATTCACCAGTAGTAACAAATAATAATAAAATACAATTAACAAAAGGATAAAATTATCCCTTAATAGCTTAATCAAGCGGCTTTAGGGGTAAAAACGCCGAGGCTTCACAAAAAATGCTGGGAATATTTCATAAAGCTAATAAACAGTAACAATTTGTATATTTAAATTAAGTCGAAAATGACTAATAGTCTTTAGAATTTATATTTTGGGGTTAAATATTGAAATAAATGAATATTGATAAAACTTGGGACGAAAAGAGAATAATTGGCATTTACACGAAAATCAATTAATTGTTTGAAACAAAACGCTAAAAAACATGTTAAAATAATTTAAAAATATTTACACAAATCGCTGCACAAAATGTTCCTATACACATTAGGGTGTTTCGGGACATAGGATACTTCGAGATCTAGGGTTCTTTGCGATGTAGGGCCCCAAAGACCCCGTAAATACTGGAGGCCGAATGGCCAGAGTTTCGGACCACAGTCCTTACTCGAGTCTACTGTGCTGCAAATTACATTATATCACTGTTACCTCCTTGGTTGCTTCCAGATCATTCATTCAAGTTTGGGCAGCGTTTGAAGTTACTGTTCTTTCCTTCGAAAGGGGAAGGTCTTGTGTAGCTTTTGAGAGTTGTAACTGATCGCAAGCTTTTGTTGTCCTTGGTTGCTGTAGCTCTGTCTGTTTGCACTTTAGCCTTCTTCCTTTTGTTTTCTTCAGAACCAGAAAACCTTTCATCTCTATAGTTTCTGTCCGTTTGAGGTGAACTACGATGTCCATCCTCCTTTGTTGGAGATTAATCTTGACGTCCATCCTTCTTGGATTCGTGTGGGTGTGGATCCATATGGTTCCCACGAGTAGCTAGGGACTAGGGCTGTTACGGAATAGCTTTTTGACGTATCTAGTACGACCTGTACCTGTTCCAAGTAGATACCTATTCCAAATACCTATTCCCGTTACAAGCTATTCTAATTCTAAATTTTATGACAGAATATTGTTGTCGCTTGGCAAATATTCAGCAGGGAGTAGGGGAATCCCTGAATCTGGTGAATCCCATAAACATAATATACTGGATTGTCTCTGATATTTAATATCGATCGATATTGTATTGAACTTAAAGCGTGCTATTGTTTACATAATAACATTAATTAAATTATTGTTCATTATGAATAGACGTTCGAGTGTAGTATGGAATTTTTTTTTCGGTGGTAGATGACAAAAAATAAATTACAAAATGTAATGTGCAAAACAATAATTTCTTATAAAACCGGTGTCTAATTTAAAAAAAAACACCTTCTAAGAAAGCACCCTACAGTACAATTACAATTACTTTGAATAATTTTAAAAATGTCACTACCTAGTTCGTAAATACTCCTGTATTATAAACATATCATAATCCCTAAACAACTACCTACAAGCAAGAGAGTTGAAACATCAAACAAAAAACAAACCCTAATACCAAAATACTGAATAGGTACACAAACGTATTACAAGTTGCCTGACTAATCCCACATCATTCCGTTTCAATTACGAACATCAGTTACAACGCGCGATAGCATCCAGTGACACAAGTAATAGGTTTGTGTGAAATTTGGTAACAGGTACGCGGAATAGGTAGGAGATACCTATTCCAAAGTAACAGGTCCAGTTCCATTGTAACAGCCCTACTAGGGACAGAAGGGTCGACCGACACAATAAGTTGGTCCGCGGCGGTAACCTTCACAAAATATTTTGATAGTTTTGGCTCTCTCACTCTACTTATGTCAAAGTGCTTCTTTATCTACAAAGTCGCTGTATAATAACTTCTAAGCTATTTAAAGGCAATTCTTTAAACAGCTATAGGCTGATTATTTTCTTTTTTAGCTGTTTAGACTAATAAAAAGATCATTATATAGACAGCTGAACTTCTATTATTCAATCTGTTGGTTGGACATATAGTTGAAGCGCTACCACAATTGTTAATAGTTGCTTTACAATTTTGTAATACAAGTGATATTTATGTAATTCAAAAATCTTGAAAAATATATTTATATTTCAGAAAACTTCGGTATGCCTGCTGACGTGGATGTTGTCTGTAACGCTGCTTACTTTTCCAGAAGCGGGATTGGTCATTTACATGAGCATCCAATACTGGGTAAGTCTATTATATTTTTACATTAAACAAAGTTTCGCATTGTAATTTTTTTTTATTCTTCAGAGGATAGAAAGCCTTTTTGGCATCACCGAATTAACTTGTTGGTTAATTAGAATAGTGATAAACGTGATCGAAATCGTACTTATACATTCGTTGCATTCCATGTGGAAGCAGGAAGAGTTAGTGCACAAGAGAATAAGAGACTTGAACATGGTGGCCATATCAGTACCGACGGAAAATTTACAATCGTTGAACAGTCAGTTTTACCACAACAACGGATATGACCACTCTATGGACCATTTCGATGATTATCCTCCCAGGTAAAAAACAAATTTTTTCTTTACTCATTTTGTCGCTGTAATATTTGTTAAAATAAATCAGCGAAGACGAAGATGTTTCTGCACAATTGTTCGTACTACTATCGATTGAAGTATCAATTTCTTGGAACGTTAATGGTATGGTATTCGAACATAATCATATTTACATTTGGAAATATGAAATTAAGGAATCCATCTTTAGAATCCTAAGGTTAAAATAAACCAAAAATTTAAGAAACTGAGTTTATTCCTCGATAGGTACCTTTTACTATTTAGGACACCAAAGCACAAAGCTAATTGATCGTTGTATCTATGTGTTCCAGTATTTTAATTAGTTAAGGTATCTAGGAATAAATTCGATGATCCAGATTCCGTTCCTGGTTTGAGCACATTTTTTATTTCCTCTTTAGCTTTATTTCGTTTATTTTCACTATGAGGTTTTGAGAATGTTTCCTTTAACCGATGATATTTTCTCTTTTATTTAAATAACCATTTTCTTCTCAAACAGCTTCTAAATGTTCTAAAAAAAAATGTTAAAAACCTGGAATAACCGAAAAATGTTTTACAGGTACGGATCCTCGCCTAATTTATGGGAATCTATACCGAATAACATGGTGATGAGTTTACCCTACGAAGGTTACCAGTTGTACAGCACTAGTGAATTTAATGCCAGCATATTTCTACCCAATTTTGTAAATACAAACGATAGTTTATCAGGTAAATACTGTTGATTTTTATTTTTGTAAATTTATTTTGTATTTTATTTAAAATTCAAACTCTAGAAATGTAGGTACATTTATAAGTAGAACAAGTACTTTTGGTTCTAATATGACTAGTTAACTTTGTCTATATAATGTTAAAATTGAGGCTTGTCTAACTGGGTTTTATGTACTTAAATAAATAGTACTGTCTGGCAAGTATAAGTAAAAAAAAAATAAGTTTATTTAATTTTTTATTCTAAAAATTAATACCAAAACGTACTGCTACTATCTAAAAAAAATTAATAAGAAAAAGAAACATTTTCTAGTTCAAGAGTTTCTTGATTCATTTATTTTAATATTTCGTGTTTATATCCATCCCAATTGGTTGATTTTAAAGACATTAAGGTATACTAGCTTATATATAATATTTGATAACTGTAGTAGCATTAATTTTAATATAATGAAAAATACCTTGTATTTTTAACATTTATTAATATTTAAAAACTTTAATTTAGCTCATAGATATTCGTTTATAGGTAAACGAGCTCAATCGCTGATGGATCTTCGATTACTCGAAGAACACACCATTTTCAGCGAAAAATTGAACCACCAATACAACCCCTGGATCAGCGCCGTTCAAACGAACACCACCAGCGCTGTAGTACCAAACTCCAATGATTCCTTATCGCCCAGTCCGGGCAAATTAACCAAATGCGCTTCCGTAGACGCTTTAAACGTGATCAAGAAGAACAATCACATAATAAAGAACAGGTCAGGATTCTACGCGCAGCCATTGCCGAATTACGGCGTTCCGATTTATTACGGACCTTTGGACGGTCCTGATTTTTTAATTTATAAGAAACAAATTGATAAGTTGACGAGTAAAAATTCGATTAATACTAATACGACGAACACGTCTGTTGATGATGTACAGAAATATAGAGATATTGCTCTTTAATGTCGTGTTTTTTATTTACCTTTACTACTTAATAAACTAAAATATAGTATGAATTCCATTTTTCGTGGCTATTAAGTTATACCGACTCACTTTGCATAATCCGCATATTCTTTATATATATTTGGACACATTTTATTTTAATACCGAATAAAAATCAGTTCAATTTAACACTAAGACATTGTTGACAACTGAACTACTTTTTACAATTACGTTCGGAAATGTATACTTAAGCCGAATTGTTTTACATTTTATAAAAATGGCGGACACAGCGTCCCTTTTTACCACAGAAACTCATGTTGTTCGTTTGACTGTTGATCAAGCAGTGAATGGAGATGACGAGCCGGCCAAGCTTGAGGATGACGTAATAATTTTTAACCAATGAGGACCCAGACAGCACACCAAATCCTTTGGATATCTACTGGACATCCCAATATCCACTAAATGTCCAGTCCATATTTTATATCCATGAGTAATTATATAGCAAATTATTAAAAAATTACGCCATTGTGGCTAATAGTACCGTTCAGATATTTAAAATTATTTTTTTTAAGGTGTATTCAATATCCCATGGACATCCACTAAATATATCAAAGTCTAGGCGCGAACGCAAACCATGGTGGATATCCACTAGATGTAATTTTTGATTTTGCTTACTAAGTGTAGATGGCGATATCATTTTCGCTCATTGAATATCAACTCATGCTCAACCCGCCGTAACTGAGTTCGACCGAAATTGGTTTCGCAATCAGATTCCATTAGAGACTGGAGTCGAGAATTTCCATTTATTGCTGAAGTCCTAATAAGGATGACTTTCTCCTTAGTGGGCAAAATCAAAGGCAGAGTGTTGAAAATATTTTGAGTGTTTTAAAAATATTTTTTATCTCTGCTATTTTCTTTCGACGTTATTCAATAATCATTGGTTACTTATGAACCTCTACTAAAGATACCCATAAAATATTTTGCTGAATATCCGAATATCTTCTATATCCTGGGATATAGACGGACATTTGGATATCCATATTAGATCCACTGGATATATTGGATATCCACAAAATATATTCTGTGGATATCTCTGGGATTTCTTGTATTGTCTGGAAGATACCCATTAGATATTTTGCTGGATATCCGTAGGATATCTTCTATATTCTGGATATAGACGGACATTTGGATATCCATATTAGATACACGGGATATTTCAGATTTCCTGTGGATATATTGGATATCCACAAAATGGATATATTGGATATCCACAAAATATATTCTGTGGATATCTCTGGAATTTGGTGTGTTGTCTGGGGAGTGGCTGACGCGCATGACGTATTTATCTGTTGGAGAACTTCCTTATCGACTGAGATAGTACAAGCTACAGGGACGGTTGTAAGGGGTTAATATTGTTCGGAAAACAGTAATGCTAAATGTATATTGAATGTATTTGAAGTCATTATTATATTTTGATTTGATAATAATTGAACTTCGGGTAAAATCGGGTATTCTGAAATTTTTAAATAAACATTTCCATCTTTTGACCCTGACAACACTCTATATGTAGGTCACTTCGACTCTATGATTATATTTATCAAAAATTTTTGAATACATTTACTGATTGTGCGCGAACAACACTCGAGGGTAAATTAGTCCAAGTATAAAAACTCTATTACAAAAAAAAGGTTTGTCGGGTACGTGTTTTAAAATTTTCTTTGCTCAACTTATACTTCATGTCCATGTAGGTGCTCATCTGTATTCCGTGGGAGTATACTAGAGACGTTGAATGAAAAAGTACCATGAAGAATTCTGTAAGTCACAATTAAATCACCTTTTAATCTTCTGTGGGCAAATGAACACAAACTCGCCTTGTTAAGCCGTTCTTCATACGATGGTCTGATTCTGCCGAAAGGTATTCGAGTAGCGTAGCGTTTGAACATTTTCCAATCTGTTTTGATCAGAAATCAGATCAGGACACCACGTAGGTCAAACATATTCCATCAACGGTCTAACGTAAGTTGTATAAAGTTTAGAAAATGTTTGAAAGTTTACACGCGTGAAGGACTTTTTTAATAGGTAGAGTTCGAACGTTTACATACCGCTGATGTGCTCTAAACACGTTAATGAAGAGTTTACAATGAGTCCTAGGTCGTTATTGGAGTTCACAGTTGCTAACGCACTACCGTTTAGATAATAGATCACGCACGGGTTATTTTTTCCTATATGCAGGACGACATATTTTCCCGTGTTTAAAGGAAGCAGCCAGGTGTCACACCAGTTTGAAATAGTTTCAAGGTTTTTTTGTAGCCGATTAGAATCTGTCACAGGATTGGAGTATAGCTTAGTGTCATCAGCGTAACACGAAATATTAGAATTTAAGTCTTTGCCTAGATCTGTAGCGTATACCAAGAATATTAATCGCCCTATGACAGAGCCTTGAGAGACACCAGTTAGAACTGGATACTCTGACGAGTACATCTTTCCAACTTTTACCTTGAAGATGCGATTTGACAAAAAATCACTTATCCAGCTTTTTCCAACTTCTTTCTTTCTTGAGAAAATCAGACATATAATTGGTTAAGATGGATTCCATTATTTTACAGGCAATTGGGACAAGACTTATTGGACGATAGTTGGATGGATTGAATTTGTCAGCCTTTTTAAAAATAGGTGTCACCCAAGCAATTTTCCACATTGAAGATGTAAACGAAGATGTCATAATAATAGAGGTAAAGCCAAATTAGATGCGCATTCTTTTTGTCAAGATTCTTCAAACTACATTTTTTTTAAATTTGTTAAGTCCTGCAGCGAATAAAGATCAACTTTAGTATTGCTAAATGTTTCAATTAAAATTATTTATATAGTTCATCTATCAAGGCATTAAAAAAGGATCTTGGGAGTCTTTTGTAAAAATGTTCTTAAGTGTTTTTTGAATGTACTTGGGTTTTGTATCATTTTGTTAGTTTTAGGGATAGTATTGTACATTTTAGTGGCAATGTATGAATAGGCTTTCTGTGAGAATGATTTCTTTACCAATGGGTGTGTAAGTTATTCTCGATGCCTGGTGTAGTACTGATGATCTGGATGATGTGCTTTATCATTACTAGAATGGTATTTAATGCATGTATTGTAACAGAACAGTTGTCTCAAATCCATTATATCCGATATTTTATACAATTCATCAGTCAGTTACCTAGAGGGTATAAGTAAGACAATAAGATTTCAATATACACGCCTATTTTGTTCAAATGTCCTTTTACTCTACTGGGGCATGCTTAGTCATGTTATTGTTTTCAACTAGTTTCTCTTTATAGAGCAGTTCTACTGTTCTTTTTGAATATTCATCCTATAAAGGTTTTTCCATATGCTTGTTTTATAATTTAGAAAATTCTTTCAATAGTTGTTGAGCTTTCTCCAATCACAGTCTTTTATGAAAACTCAAACTGTACTCTTTGATACTCCCAAGGTTTATATCTGGTTGCGATATTTCTTCTAATCCTTTGTGAAAATTCGTGAGCCTTTTCATTACCCTCGATGACCTGGCACTCAGTTTTACTATATTTCGGTTTGCCAGCATTTTCTGTTCTTTGATGCAATACCATACCAGCCTCGACGTCACTTTCTGATTCGATATTGCTTTAAAGACCGCCAAAATTATTTTGTTCTGTTCATTTTCGATAGTTCTCCTATTGCCCATTACAAAATTGCATAAACCTCAGCCTGAAATACTAAAGCATGTCTTCCTATTGTATAGCCAAGGTTGGTGTTAGGGTTATTTGAAAATACTCCAAAATTGAGTCTGATATCAACGAGACCTCTGGAATTTTTCCGTCATTTACACTAGAACCTACCTAAGCCCTTTTGACGCAGAACCAAAAGGATGTGAAGCAAACCACATTAACAAAACTGGCGCCCGAGTGCACAGGCAAGAAATAAAATTATTTTAAACTTAAATAACTATTAATCTGCTAAATGTAGGGATGAGCGATCAGATGCATTCAAATATATCAATTTTGTTCTACTTTTGATGAAATAAACGGTACTATTATTAGCTAAGGAAAAAGAAAACAAAATTTGGTTTTATATAAAAAGCAACAGATAATAGATATTTTATATTTCTATTTATATATTCGCTAACGTACGTTTTGGAATGAAATAACAATTACTTTACATCTTTACAAATTAATTCATCGCCACAGCCCATGGCGGCGTCATCGGCTGTGGATTTTGTAAATAAGACATCACTATCGCAGATATCGATAACATAAATGAACTTAAGATCTGAAAAAAATAAAAAATTATCGTATTTTAACATTATTTGCATAAATCCGTATTTTAAAACGTTAATATACCTGTTTGGTGTCATCGGTTATTCTGGAGTTAGCAAAACTGATACAGGAACAGTATAATGCGACCCAAGCGCACCATTTTAACCTCATCATTAGACCGCACATACTGAAAATCATACCTGAAACAAATAAACGAATCCAAACTAAAGTTGTTCGAAGAATATTATCTAAAGTAAACAGTAAATTAACTATTTTAGTAGTAATACATTTCTAATAGTCCATATTATGTCGCGCTACTCTAGCCAGTGAAGTTAATGGAGGAATGTTCAATAGAGCAGAAACTATTAATAATAGGAAATAGGCATAGAAAGGAATCGTATAGAATAAATTACCCTAAATTATTTTGAACAATATATTTATGCACAATGAAATACTTTTTATATACTATAACACAGCCATAATTGTCTAATTATTCTCTTTACCGTTACACATTCACCAAAGAATCGGCGTTTTTAGAATTATATCAACACAGTCCATTTTACAAAAAAAAAAAGAAGAACAGATAAGAAAACTCACAATAACTTCTTTTTTTAACTATCTATCACACAAACAAACAAAAATAATAGATACGCTTTGTTGTTCGTGTCATAACCTCACTTTCCTTTTTTTCTCACGGTTCTGAAATAAATGCAGTGAGTCGAAGCAATTAGTAGGGAT